AGGGTGGGGGATGTCAGGGGGATGCAATCCAAGGCACTTTACACTTCTGGGTCTGGTCCAAAAGATCTGCAAGTTGTTTTTTTTTCCCGTTTATTCTTCCTCTCTGTGCAGTGGTCCTTGGGCAGGACTCAGTCACAACAAGCTGACAAGGAAATAAAACCATTAAACACTAGAGGGAAGCAAAAGACTTTGAGTGCAGCTTCCTGCTCTGGAGCCTCCTGGGCAAAGCTCCCCCGGGGCTTCCCGTGCCACTGGATTTAAACACGAAAAAAAACCCTGGGGGAAATGACAGGAGGTATTTGCAGTGACATTCCCAAACCCCCCCTTAGCTGAGGAATGTGTGTTACAGAGGGATATTGCCCTACAGGTCACATGGGAGGGGAAAAGAGAAGGATTGAGGACAACTTTCATGTTAATTTTCAAACAATTCCATGGGATCTGCACCTCATCAATTAATTTATTGGGTTGATCAGGACCCAAAGTGTTTTCTTTCCTTTGGGTTTCCTACCTCTTCTTAGCAGCTGCAGCACTTAAAAGAGTCACACTTCCTTTAAAAAAAGGAAGAGTCCCTTCAGCAATTGTCTTCAGAGCAGCTCATCTGCCGAGGGCCACCTACAGACCTCTAGAAAAGGAGTGTTTTTTGCTTAGGAATGTCTATTCAGGTCTTTATCCTGCTTCTCTCAGGTCCCCAGTGTTTATTCTTCCCCTCAGAAATTTGTTCTGTTAATGGCTTACAAGTAAAACTCCGCTCAGACTGGGAGGCAGAAAGGAAATGGGGACAATCTGGACTTCGTTTCAGACAAGTGGGAGACAATGACAATATTTAATTTCAGTGGTCTGCAAAGCAGGCCCTGTGGGTGCTAAATCAGCTCCTCCTTGTTCCCAGCTGCTTTCCTGGAAAATCAGATCCGTTGCCTGGAGACAAGAGAAAAGTGACAAGATGCCCCAGCAATAACCCAGCAGAGACCAGTAAAGCCCCACAGCAGCACCAGAGAGGGTATTTAGGGTGGTGATTCACCCCAGGGAAGAGGTGCTATGGAATGGAGTGGGATTTCCAGCCAGGGAAGAGAGCAGGTAATACTTTCACCAGAGCTGGACAAGCTGGTCGATAATCTTCACTTGCTAAAGTTTGCACCTTTTTTTTTTTGCCACTTTTTAGTTCCATATCCTGCTTTGATCCTTCAAATTCCTGCCTCTGCACCGTCCATCTGAGCTGTTTCCATCAGTGTCCCTGGAAGAACTCTGGTGCCAGCTGGGATAGTGCTCAGGGGGTGGAAACCCTCCAAGAGCAGAATGTGCAGCAGGAACTTCGCAAGGTGTGAGTTCTGCAAGCAAAGAGGAATCTGGGCTGGGAGTGAAATAACATATCCCAGCAGGATGTGTTATCTTCCCTTCTGGACCTGCAAAATTAAATACTGTGGAAGAGCTGCCAGCCTTCCCCTCTGATGGATGGTTTGAACTCCATCTCCAGCTGCGGATCCGCCCGTTACACAACACTTTTGGAGAGCTGCTATTTCTCCACGGGCCCCATGACCCTGTCAAATAATAATATCCCACGTGGAAAGGATATTGGAATCACTGGAATAACTTATTGAATCCAGTCTGCGCTTTGTAAAGCACTTTAGGATGCTCTGAGATGAAACACACTGCACAGCTCTTGGGAAGAATTAGCTAATGCTGGCTAATGGCTCAGGTAGCATCTCCAAAGAGCAAGAAATAAAACCAACCTTAGCTGGAAACTCCATTAAATTCTCCTTTATTTCTTAAACACTAGGAATTACACAGCAATGACAAATGGTAAAAGTTAAGCAACAATAATAATGAAAATTAATTCAGTTACAACAAATTAAAAAAAAAAGAAAACAAACCACAAGCTTTCTGGACTAAGTCCTTCTCTCAGTCTGGAGAGGAAGCAGAGTGTGCACAGAGCTGAAAAGAGTCTAGTTCTAGTCTCAGTTTTAACCCCTTTCAAGGTCACTGCCAAACAGCCTTTCCTTGTCCCACACCAAGGGCTGACAGTCCACACATTATCCTAAAAGAGACTTTGATTTCTCTGCCCTCATTGAGCCTCGGTACTCGCTGAGGAGGAACTGCTGTAAAAATTAGGGATTATTACTATTTTGACTAACTGAACATAAAATGCATGTCTCAGGAAGCCAGAGAGGCTGTGATGAGGCAAAGCCTGCAAAGTGACAGGCAAAGGAGTCTGTCAAGGTGCAGCATTTAATTGGTACAGGGAGAACATCATCTCCAATAACTCGGGCAAAGCACATTTACCAAAGTGCTACACACTTTAAAAAGGTGTTTCTCCACCAGAGGCAAGTTACAGCCCCAGATTAGGGAAAGAAAGGCTGAGATGAGAGAGAGAGAGAGAAAACCAACCTGTCTGGCACTGCAGTGAGTCTGTGGCAGAGCAGGGACAGAGAGCAGTGGTCCTGCAACTTGAACCTTTTAATTTTCACATGCAATTCAGCTACATGGAACTTCCCCCCCAGTGCCAGAGACTGACAGACTGCAAAGTGCACTGTGAAAAACCTGAGTGGCTTCTCACCACTATTTAAGGGCAAACAGCCTTTGATAATCCCTCTGCATTAAGAAATAAACAGCCAGAACTCTTCAGTTTACCCTTCCAGTTGTCCTTTTCTCTTTTTTTTCAACAGTTTGAAAATACAGTTGGTTGTCCAGCAGTCTTGCCTAGGTCTCCTTCAGCCAGAATTTTGACACCCTAAATTACACACACTGGATGTGGCAGCTGCTTTTTGAAACCCACTGCTGTGATCAGCAGGCAAATCACTCAGCATGTCCCTCTCCTGAAGGAAAAAGGGCCACAGTCCCAACTTGACCAGCCCAGGGTTATGCTGACGTGTCTGACCATTACCCAAACTCCAACTAGTGATCAAAGCAAGGATGAGGAACTCATAAAGCTCTTCCTAGTCCTTGTTACAGAGAACATATTAATTTTTCTCCCCTTAAGCTATTTTGCAGCCTAGAAGTCCACTGAAGTATTTAAATGCCTCTGGAGCTTATGAGGAGCCCCACTTTGAGCTGGTGTCTCTGTGAGCTGTGCTCTGCAATTGGAACTGGCAAGTGAAAATCTCCAGCCTTTGACTCACAGACATGAAAGGGAGGGAGAGAGACATTAATGACAATTACTTGAGACTCTGCCACCCTGATGGAATAACCAGCAGGGCCTCCTGCACCTGCAGGAATGCAGCCTGGGTTTCAATCAGCCCCAGCCCTAAGGCAGGCTGAGAATCCCTGGCTGTTTTGGGGAGAAGAAGGCAAAAAGGGGCCTGGGACCAAGCCCAGACCCTCCTCTCCACTACTCATGGGTCTGCCCAACCTGAGCACTTCTGTAGAGGTGATTCTTAAATGAAGAAAAAGGCAGTTAATTGCAAATCCCAAAAGGTGTCCAGACAGCACTGGAAAGCAAACTAAAGGATAAGGAACTCCACCTCTACTTACATTCTTTTATTATTTACCACTTGGAGGCATTAAAAATAAGGGTCCTCACTATAATTATTCTTTCACATAGACCCCACTAACAGAGAGAAGTATTGATATCTAAAAAAATGCACATGGACCGTTTTCTACCCCTATAAAAAGTGTGCTTTGAAGTCATGATGTCCAACCTTCTGAACAGACAGTACAGCTCCTCTGGCACACAGGAGGCTTCACCCACCACGCTTTTGGCAGAGCTGGGCAGCTGAGCTCAGCTTTTCAGGACCATCCCACCCAGTGCAGCATCCCTGTGACCTGCTGGAAGTCCTCCCCAGCCCTGGCACACACCAGGTGCTCGTGGGAGGAGGGACACAGAGCCTGGAATGGGATTTAGATGTCTAAGAACATTGGCATCAGTCAGACAAGACACCCAAGTTGGCAGGGGCAGAAAGAAAGGGGTCCTGGAGACCCTGCCCCCAGTTCCACCCAGTCACCAAGCCCACACTCAACCCCTCCCTCTGCCACTCTCTCCAGAGTAGGTTGGCAACCCTCAGCCACCTTCACCCTTGGCAACCCTCAGCCACCTTCACCCTTGCACAGCTCACTGTCATCGTGCTCACAACCTTCCCTTCTGTGCCCCAAGGACCCTGGGAGTGCCTGGTCTGGGAATGGTGCCCCAGAACACCCCAGGTGGTCAGAGGAGCTGCGTAGAACTGTTAATATTCCCCAGCTTCCACGGTGCTTTAACCTGCTTGGATCACAACACCCAATTACTCCTGATTTTTGGCATCCCCACCTGGCACTCTGTTCATATGTAGAACTCCCCTTCAGCCCACAGCCCCACTGCCTCAGGTGTCCACTCACCAAAACAACGCCAAAATCCATGAGAATAGATTAATCTCACTCCTGGATTGCCCTTCTGAGGCCCTGGCCCACCAAAATTCCTGACAGGCTCTTCAGTGCTGTTGCTCTTGTTCCTCAGGGGCTGCTCCTGAGGAGCTGCTCCCGTTTCCAACCTGCCTGTGCTGGAACCATACCTGTGGGTCGATGTGCACACGAGCTCTGCGTGGCCTGGGTCCACCCAAGGACTGCAGGAAAATCCCATCCCAGGTTCCACACAGGAGTTCAGCCCCCTCCAAAGCATTCCTGGTTCTGATCTAACTGAGACTGGTGTTACAGCACTGCAACTCCATCAGTCAAGTGTCTGCTCCTGCCAAACATGATTTGATCTGCACTGAAATGAAAACAAACAAGCTCAGAGTGAGAAATACAGAGTTCAGCTTCCAGAGCTCTTTGGAGCTGAACCCAATCTACTCGTGGTCATTTATCTGCCTCCCTTTCCCCTGCAAAATGAGGATCCTGACACTTCCCCATTCACAAAATGAGGTATTTATATTGCCATTTTGGAGGGCTGTGCTCTTTGTGCTTCACCTGGAACGTGTAAAGTGCTGTGTGACACTGATTTATGCCAGCCCACGGGAGATCAGGCTCTGCTATTATTATTCTGATGAATACACTACATGGAAAAATGCCTGATATATAATGATGGCTCTGGAGCAGTGATGCAGGTTGGTTTATTTAAAGCAATTACATCAAAGCAAAAGGTCTGCTGATTCAGCTCATAAAAATCATTGATGCATAAAACCAACAATAATATCAAGAAAAGAAGAGGGGAATGGAGGATTGGGAGACGAGGAGGAAAGGCAACCCAAACCCATAAATGCACACAAGACAGTCTAACTCTTTCAAGAAGCATTTGCAAACACCCTCAAGTCTATGTGAAAAAAAAATCTATGGGAACTGGAGGGAGATGGTATTAAGAAAAGTCATCTCTCTTCCATGTTATCTATCTTTGGTTGAAGCTTCTGGTCCAGCCAGCAGCTTGGGAATGTCTTCATTTACAATATTCCTTCCTGAAATCTGAAAGCAAATGGAAATGGAGGTCAGCACCTGGAGAGGGATTTCAAACCTTTCAAATGAGCACAAAAATATGGACTTCTCTAGGCAGTGACAAGTTTGCAGTCAGCCATGTCCCCAGTCCCCCCTCAGGAATATATATAAATATCCCCTCATAAAGCCCCCAGTGTATAAATTATTGCACAGATCACCTCTGAAGAATGCAGGGGAAAAGTATCCTGAGAACTCCAGCAGGGACAGCAGGTCTGAGGCAACTCCTGGGCTCTCCAGACCATTCCCTGCTCGGTATCATTTCAGTCCCATTTGTTATATTCTAAATTCCTCTTAAATGAGTCATGGAATCTTATGTCACTGCTTGACATAAGTGCTACTCTACAAACTGAGGCACAACTCTCAGGATTAATGCTGGGGAAGCAAAAGGAGATTCGGCCCCCAGGGAGGGAGAGCTGTTTGCTTTTGTTGGATGAAGTGAGTGACTGCCCATAAATTAATTCAGCTCAAAACACTATCTTCAGCACAGTGTTTTCTCCCCAAACAGCACTGCCAGGACATTTTTGGGATCCATCTCCCTCTGAGGTTACAGTAGAGCAGGCCCTATTCCAGCCCTGCCAGGCATTCTTTTTCCAATAAAGAAAAATTCGGTTTGGGCCACGCCAAAAGCTTTCAAAAGCCTAATCACCACTTGCATCTTGTGGCTCCATGATGAAAGGATGGGCAGGGAACTGGCTCCTCATTCCTGCTGCCATTTGCCAGGGTGTTTATCATTCCTGCCTGGGCTGTGGCTTGGTCAGCTCACTGATGGACTGAGTTGCTCCCTCCTGCTGCCCAGCAGAAGGTTCCTACAGCCACCAATTAGGGGGAAAGCAAGTCATTATTACCTTTGTCTAAATCAATGTTCTTTGCTGGGAAGCTTCTGGCTTGCTCAGCCTTCTCCTTCAGGATGTTGTTTTTGTAATCTGTGCAAGGGAGGAGCGTGGTTCAGACAGACATTAGAATATTAAAAGAAAACAAGAGTTTTACAGGCAAGACACACACGATCAGTCCTTCCTTGATGTACTCCAGGCCTTCAGATTTCTAGGAGTGGAGTTACTCAGCCACTCAGCAGCAAAAGGAAAGCTGCTGCCACCTCATTTTTGCCCCTGGCACTAATCAGTCATGGATATTTCGGGTTCCTGCTCCTCACAGGTACCACAGATTCTCCCAGCACGTAACAGAAAGATGGACAGAATGAACTCAGCTAAACCTGGATTTCCCTTCATCCCCATCTCCACACCCACTTTCAAGAGGTTAAAGAGGAGGAGGTGAAGTCACCTGAAAATGCCATTAGAAGCTCCTGAGCTACAAGGAGTTTTGACCTGGTTTGGCACAGGGTTGCCACCTGACACATACCCAGCCTGATGTCTTCACTTTTGTGTGGGGTCAGATCTGTTGTGTCCACTGTAAATTCCTTCAAGTTCACATCCTTCCTGTAAAGGGAATAACAGTGGAATATTGTCACATCCTCTAATAGCTGTCTCCTTCCACACTTTTTCACAATAGCTTTTCTAATGGGACTTTAGGGAATTTAATTTATGGTGTTTATTTGGTATAGCTGGATCTCTTTTTTCCCCCATGTGTTTGTTCAGAGCTTAGAACAACAGACAGCCAACCTCTACTGGAACTTCCCATCTCTTCCACTTTAATAATATAAAATAAATCATAAAGGAACCCAGATACATGATCTTGGCCCCATCCCATAGCAGATCTGTGCATTATTCCTATACCACTAATTCCTAATGATGTCTCACAGAACCAGGATCTGGGATTCAGTTCCCAAAGCAGAACAAGAGGAAATGCAATTGCCAAACCAGCCCTACAAACCACTTTCTCCTTCTAACCAAATCCTCGGCTGTTTTAGGTCCTTAATGACAACTGAGGAAAGGGGCCACAAGTTCCCTTTTATGCCTTTTAATCCTAAATAACAGACCCTGTAATTATACTTACTCTCCATATTTCTTCACGTTATATTCATAACCTGAAAAGGGAGAAGAGAGAGAATGAGCAGTCAGGGCCAGTGCAGCCAAGCCCTTCCTCTGGCAATGATAACCCCTGGTATCTTTTCACACTTTGCTGGTGCTAATCCCCTGACACACAAATAAGGGTGAACGTGGCACTGCAAAGAACACTCCAGCACACAGACATTCCTGGGATTTGCTTTTCGTGGGGCACCCAAAACTAGTGGTGTGGGAGTCACCAGAAGATCTCAGTGTCTGTTTATATAATTCTTACAGGGTCACCCAGCCCAGGGAGTCCAGCAAGGACATTTGAGTTCCCAAGGGATGCACACGAGCCTTCTGCTCTAAATAAATCCCACTTGTAAAGAGGAGCTGTCTGGCACTTCTAACTTCCTTCTCCCTTCCAACAGTGCAGCTCAGCAAATCACGAGGGGTATTTGGTCAAAGGCTGGTTCTTGATGACCCCAGGGGTCTTTTCCAACCTTAATGACTCTGTGAAATCGAGGCCTGGAAGTTTTTACCCCCCACTAATTAATCCAGGCAGCAGCACCGGGATTAATTAACCCTCCCTGTGCAGGCTGCTGGTTTGCTAGGAGGGGATCCTTGCCTTCAGCAGGGTGTTTTGCAGGAATTACTTGCAGGATCATCCCAGGATACCCCCCCAAGCAGGACAGGGCTATGATTTTCTTGCACTCACCTCTCTGCCGGCGCTTGCGGGTGACGAGCACCACGATGATGAGGAGGACGATGAAGAGCAGCAGGGTTGCCAGGATGTATCCCAGCTGCTGGAAGAAGTGCATCCTGCTCTCAGGGATGATGACATTTATCACATTGTGGCCCCTGACAATGTTTGGGTCTGAGAGAAAGGCAAACAGGTTGATCATTGTAATCGGCATCCAGAGCAAAGCAGGATCACACATGGGCACAAGAAGGATATTCAGGGAGAAACTCTTCTGAGCTGCTTGAATTAAGGAGCAAATCCCTACCTGATTTACAAAACCTCTGATTTATCTCAGGTGGGAGATGCCTGTGCTCTTCACAAGACCACAATTCCCAGGGAGATGAAGTTTTAACAGTGACTGTTCCACATTCCCTTCCCACTGCCTGGCCACCAGTGCTTATTGCAGAGGGGAAGTTCAGAGAAAAGTCACCCCCAAACCTTCCTGAGGGTAACACAACCCTCCTCTGGGTCCCTCACAACACACACCCCACACTGCTCAGGCTCCAGACAGAGAAAATATGAAGCAGCCCCTCCCTGCCAAGGGAGGTTATAATTTACGGAGTGGGAGGAATTTTCAACGCCAAAAGAATAAGTTTTCCTTTGAAATGAAATAAAAATCAATAAAATAAATAAACCAAGAAAAAAAACCCCACAATGAAAAGCCAAGATTCCATTCCATTTGTGGGTGCAGCAGCATTTCAGTTCCACAGCACTGGAACTGGGGAAGGGGAGCTCCAAACTTTTACGTTTTTGTAGGTCTCAAATAAATAGGTCAATGTTTTACACATATAAAGAGGAAGCGACTTCTCTGCTTGCAATAGGCAGAGGAATGGACAAATCCAGCCCTGGAACAGACTGGAAACACATAAGACTGTGCTGGGAGAGGTTTTTCTCTTCAAAACAGCTGAAATGACACTCTCACTCCCTGACAGGGAACATTCACAGGCAAGAACCAGGATGGAGTCCTGGCCTTCCATTCCCTTGGGAGTTCCCCCTGCAAATCAGTCAGAGGGAATAAGGGGAAAGATAGGGGGAAATACCTCAAAAGCCACAGTACCACTTAACAGATGTGTGCTAATATGAGGAATGTTGACATTTCTGGAAGTGCTGGCACAGTGACTGGTTCCAGTTTGTCAGGGAGTTTGTTTCCAGTGTTCAAAAAAAATACCAACCCACCAAAAGTAAAAATCAAATAACACAAGAGTGGATTGAAACAAACACTTTGAAACCAGAGGTGACAGTTTGCTAATGCCAGCAGCAGTCCTAGAAAATGCAAAAGTTTGAGCAATAGGCTCCATTCTGATAGCCCAGAGCTCCACTCCAGCAGCTTCCAGTTTATCCTGGCACTGCCAGATGCCATGTGCTCCCTGGCTGCACTGCTGGAAACTACCATGGGGGGGTTTTTCACCACTGCCAAGCTACAAAAATACCCAACCAAAAAACCCACTTGCAAAGCTGCAAACAGTACTTGTGACAGTTCTGCTTTGTCACATCCCTGGACCCTGGAAGGCTCCTCCAGCAGCTGCCACAATGAGATGGTGCCACTGGAGCAGCTGTTGAGCCAGGAGTCAGCAAACAAAGGCATCCTATTCCTGGCTTTTTGCTTTCCCACAGTCCTGCAAGGCAGGATTGAGAGCTGAGCTAAACTTTAGGCAGCATTGGAGAGGTCACTGTGACAACAAACATTGGAAACAGAGATTAAGTAACTTGGGGCCTCCTTGGCTTACTCAAATAATACTAAAAATACTTGTCACACCAGTGTTTAGACAAAGCATCACTGGTGGGCCTCAAAATGCATCATCAGGAAGGCAGTAGAATATAACCCACTTTATAACTGGGGAAGCTGAGGCACAGAGTGACAGCTGATTCAGTCACACCAGTGAATTTCAGTGCCCAAAACAGGATCATCAAGGTCATACAGACTCTCCTCCTCACCCTAGTCCTAGACCAGAATTCAAGCTGAGCTGATGAAAGTTTATTCTGTGACCAAGATCTGATCTCTCAGTCCATCTCATGGCCATCTGTCTCCAGTTCACCCACAGGATCTGGCTTAATTATTGAAAAATAAGTTCTAAAGAAAACTTAGATCAGGGGTTCCTCACACCGCTTTCCCAAAGTGTCAAGGGTCAGATTCTTCTGCTGGAGAAAACGGAGAGCTCTCCACCAAGAGAGCTCCCAAACCTGGCCACGGGGCCTGTTTTCTGTTCAGGGCTGGCAAAGGGTTGTGAATGGTTCGGCACCAAGCAGGAGACACAGCAGATGCCATTCTACAGCATCTTTGCTCCAAAGCAAGCACCGAGTAAAACTGCTCTGGGTTAGCAGACACACACCACAGTCACACTGCTGGGACTGGGAGCAGAGCTGAGCTCCGGCCTCTCTTCCAAACAGGACGAAATTTCCCGTCTGGAAATGGCTCTGGGCCTTTTGGAGCCAGGCCAGAAGCTGTGGCTGCTTGCTGAAGCAGCTCATTGTCGTGCTTTTGTTACCTCCTGAGGTTTCATGTATGTTATATTGCCCACGATTCCATAGAGTTTTCCAGGGAATGGGGCAGCCCCTCAGGCCGGGGTGCTGCACCCCGAGCAGGGCATGTCCCTGCAGGCTCCTCAGCAGCGGTGGGCTGGGACAGGCACTCCGGATGTCTCCACTTCTTGCACATTCCCATGCACTCAGCACATTCCTGTGCGTGGTGCTCTCAGACCAGCTGAGGGTTCACTGCCTGGAGGGGCAAAGCTCTTCCAAAGGTTGCTCTTTCCGACAGTGGAAATGGCTTTTCCCAGGAAGGAAAATTTCCTCCAGCACCGAGGGCGCCGCTGCCAAACTGAGACAGCCCCTGGCAGGTTAAACAACTTTAGAGGTTCCATCTAAGTGCTGAGCAGGTAGGGAACTATTCAGCAACAGCCAGGACAACATCCAGGAAAGAGAGGACTAAATTCCTGGGTGGACAATTCCGAAAACAAGATCAAGTTTCCATCTGCACAGCGTGATCTGGAGAGGGCTGCAGGCAGGGACGCTGAGATTTGGATGTCCTGGTCTCCATGTCAGCCCCAACAGCCACCTCTCCTTAGCACTGCCAGGGTTTTCTGGACACCAACCTCAATCCCAGGGGGGAGGTTTAGGTTTCTGTGACTTGAGAAAGCCAATTTCTAGAGAAGAATAAACCTATTTAAAAATGTATGAAGCGTATCAAAATTCTGTATTAAACAGTCAATAAATATTAAACCACAATGAATATTTTAAAATGTTAATAAAGAACTATGCCCAAAAGACTTTAAAAAAATATTGAGGTTTTTTTTATTTTGTTTTTCTGCCTGAATGAAGCATGATGGTTTTGAGTTTGGACAGGCTGTCAGATGATAGCTCAGTGCAGTGGAAAATATGAAAATTGGTTTAAGATGCAAAAAAAAAGGAAAGCTGAAGGGTGGAGGAAAATTCCTGGGGCTTAATTCTGCATGGTCTGACACCTTGCACAGCCCAAACAGCCGTGCAAAGGGGAGAGAAACACTGGTGAGAGTGGTGGCATGTTGTAACAGCACAAGCAGTATCAACCTTCTGCCCACACCTTCTCCTGATCCCAAAAGCAAGGAGGAAAGGGAGCCTGTTCCAAAAACAGCTTGTTTGCCTCAGGGCCTGTCAGCAGTGAGAGCAGAGTAGGCTCAGGACTGCCCTGGAGCAGAGCAAACAGGAGCTGACATGGTGCCACCACAGCACCGCGAGCAGGGCGAGCGACCCTCAGGGGTGGGACACTCAGGGATTTCCCAGATTTCCCAGAGTGTTCTGAGTTGGAAGGGACCCACAAGGACCACCGAGTCCAACTCTTGAGTGAATGGCCCACACTCCCCTCCTGGTGGCTCCTGGGTGGTTTATTTCAAAGCTGGATTACTGCCTTAACTCCTTCTTCCCATTTTTCTACCACTTAGTTCAATGCTCTCTGACTGTGAGGATGTAACACAGCAACAAAAGACCAGGAAAAAGACACAGGATTAAAGTATAAATGGATCTAAATACTTAATAGCTGGAAGGAAGAAAAGTGTGACCTACATTAATCAGAGGCAAAGTAGTGACAATGGGCTTCAGCTGGTTGTGTACCTAATTGTTTGCGTGTTTACTTATTTATTTTTAAGGCACCAAGTACCAAGAAAATATTCTTGAAAAGGTTTCACTCAATTGTAACTTCAGGTGTGATTTGGAAATTTTCTACACCTTGGAAACAAGCAGACAGCACTTGGGGGAAAAAACTAGAATTCAGTTTTATGAAGACTGGCACACCAGACAAGAGACAGTCAAGAGTGGCCACGCACCCAGCTCTGGGCACACAACGGGAACAGCTCGGGAACAACCCCAAAGGTGCAACTGGTAGAGACCCCCCCTCAACCAGGAGAGCCACTTCCAGAGGCTTCCAGAGGCTTCCAGAGGCCACTCACCTACGGCCGGGGCGACGTTGTGGGTGGTGAGGTTCACCACCTTCCTCTCCCTGGCCACGGGCTCGGTCACAGACACGCGGTAGATCCTGCGCTCGTGCAGGCCGCAGTAGTGGTGGTGCAGGTGGCAGGAGTAGGTGCCCTCGTCGGCGCTCTCCAGCTCCGAGATCCGCAGGGAGAAGTCGCCCAGGGCGAAGGCGGCGTCGGTGACGTTCATCTTGCGGCGCACGAAGAGGGGCCCGTAGGAGCGGCGCTCGCCGGAGGCGTACAGGTCGACGAGGCGGTCGGCGCGGTCGTGGGGCACCCCGGGGGGCTGCCGGTCCCAGTGCACGACCTGCTGCTCCTCCTCGCTGTGCCGCTCCGTCCAGATGTGGTTGCGGTTGACGCAGGGCAGCGTCACCGTGCTGCCCTGCAGGGCCACCACCACCGGCTTCTCCCCGTCCCAGAACTCGCCGGCGTCCTCGGCTGGGGGGGCAACACACCCAGAGTCATTGGATCTACCCGGCTGGAAGGGACTGTTACCTTAAGGTGCTTTCATTTTTTGATTTTTTCTAATTTTTATGAGTTTTAGAAGTAGTTACATGGCAGAAGCAGATTTTAAAAGCGGCTGCATTCATTCCCTCACCCTTTAGCTGCACATATTCCCCAACCCACTTTCTTTTCCTTGTAACTGAGAGTTAATCTCTTGCTGCAGAAAGCAGGAAGCATATTCCCTCTCCAGACTAAGAATGGAACGAGGATCTTGGATGTGCTGCATCCCAATCCTCCGAGCAGGAAATGCTTTGCTACCCACAAAGGCCCTAATTGCTGGAGGAGTCGAAGCAGCTCTGCTCTGTATTTTGCTCTTGAAAAGGAACAACAGGAGAACCAAAAACGCAGCTGAGCAGATTGGGGCTCACAGGGTGCGAGCAGCAGCAGAGGAGATGCACTTCCCTCCTCTCCCATCAGTCCTCCAACAGCTTCCCAGCACAACCAGCCCCCCAGCAGCTTCACTTGTGTGTTCCCCAGGGGTCGATTTTAATGGCACGGTAGTGGTGACTGTGTGGCATGGGTGGCACACACTGCAGCTGCCAGCAGCTTGCTTTTAGAGCTGGGCTTAAGGTGTGGTAACTCGAGGCGGGTTTTTAAGTACAGACTTCTCAGGACAAGCTCAGAAGCCCAATGTACAGGGCAGGTCTTTGTGGCTGAGCTGAGTGGGGATGGACTGTCACCAGGCATGTGCTGCTGCTGCAGGAGCAAGAGGACAGTTTGGGAATTGGGCTGCCAAGAGTAAACAGGCTCCACGCACTGTTTGGCACATGCCAAGAAAGGAGGGAGGTTCACAAACACACACACTGAATGAAATCTCTGAAACTCAGGGAATCAGACAGCAAAGCAGCACTGTGAGCACCACGTTCTGCTGGTGCTTCCCAGGCCTCTGGTGGCACCTGTGCCCTGACCCTGCAACTGAGACGACATGGGAAGAACCCTGCAGGTTCTTCTCGAGCAGAACAGTGTGCAAGGCCTGCAGTGAACCAGCACACACCCCCCACTGTGAATCCAAGAGCCCTGCTGGCCACTGGACTCCAGCTGCCAGACCAGGTCCCTCCCAGAAGGGACACGGAGCTCTCAGCCACACCTACCTTTCTTGGTGATGGTGAGCTGGATTTTCTCAGTTTCATACAAGTGGCAGTAGTGATGGTGAAGATTACAGGAGTATATGCCTTCATCACTCTCTGCAACACCTGGTACAGCAGGGAAGAGAGGAGAAGCTGAATATTTTATTCTCTGTCATTTACACTGTTTCCCAAATCCTCGTATGGATGAAAAGGGCCTTTATACAACTTAGTTCTAGGGTGGGTTAAACAGAGACAAATCATCTCAATCTAATAATTTGCTCAGTTTGTTTGCCCTTGGAAGGCAGGTATTTGTATTAACAGATGGAAAGAGAAAGCTGATTTAAGTTTAGCTAGAGCAGGCAGAGGAAGAACGACCATCGAGTGTTTATAGCTCAGGAAATTAAATACAATCAAAGGCCCACAAAAAGCCCAAGTGGTTTTCAGGCTGTTACAAATTCTCTTTCAAAATGTGCCTGTTTCAAAGGCAATTAAAACGCTATTGCCAGTGCTTCAGAGAACCTCACGGAACAATTTAGGTTGGAAAAGACCTCTGAGATCCCTGAGTCCAACCTGTGAGCAATCACCCCCTTGACAACCAGCCCAGAGCACTCAGTGCCATGTCCAGTTGCTTCCTGGACATCTCCAGGGATGGGGAATCCACCACCTCCCTGGGCAGCCCCTTCCAAAGCCTGACCACCCTTTCAGTGGAGCAATTCCTCCTGAGAATTAGACTCACTGGGCTGATATTTTTCCTATAGAAAATGCCCTGTGAAACACCCACTTTCACCACAAACCAGCAAGTTAAGTCAGTCACGAACCCTCCGCCCCTCAAAACAGCGCGGAGCGAAGAGCTCCCGCCTCGTACCTTTGATCACCAGGGAGAAGTTGCCCTCTACAAAGGCGTTCTCGGGCATGAAGATCCTGCCACGGTTGTAGGAGCTGTAGACACGCTGGTCCCCAGCAGAGTACATGTCACAGAGCCTCTCCATCTTGTTGTCCCCGTAGTAGGTGCTGTGCACGTCCCAGTGCACGACGCGCTGCCGGTCGTTGAGCCGGTCCTGGGTCCACACCATGCGGTGGCTCTTGCAGGGCAGCACGGCCTGAGAGCCCAGCACAGCACTGATGTTCAGCACGGACACCACCACGCTCTCGGGGTTGGAGGCATCAGCTGGCACTGAGAGCCAAGGAGCAGAGAGCAGAGTTGACAGTGTGAGGACAGCAGAGTAGGACTCGGACCCGCCCCGGAATCTCTCTGCGCATCTTCTGCCCAAAAGCGACCTTCAAGACCAGCACAGGGCACTCTCATGGGCAATTATGAAATATCTCGAGTTGAAAGGGACCCACAAGGATCATCCAGTCCAACTCCCGGCCCTGCACAGACACCTCAACAATCCCACCCTCTCCCTCCAAACACTCCTTGAGCTCTGGCAGCTTTGGGGCTGTGACCAAACCCTGGGGAGCCCGTTTGGTGCCCAACCACCCTCTGGGGGAAGAACCTTTGCCTAATAAAGAAATGTAATACAAAAACTTGACACACTGATTTCAGTTGGTGAAAGCAATGTCTGTGTGATGTCTGTTATCAGGATTGTACACCTGACCCATCCTACCTACCCTTCCTAATCTTAGCCCCCAGTTTAATCAAAGTTTAGAGACACCAGTGCATGGGATGCATGGTTCCCGTCTATGGAAGTTAGCAGTGAAACCCCCAGTGCCTGCCATGGATTCAGGGTCCCTCATTTGTTCTCATGATCACAAAACCAGGCAGATGACAAAGATGTCACTCACCTGAATATGAACACACAGAACCTGTCAAAGCAGAAAATAAAGAATGTTACTGACAACAAAAGGAAGAGAGAACGACAAACACACTCAAAATCAGCCACCTCCTCTGTTATTGTTCCATCTGTTCCTCCCTTTCTGTTAATATTTATGTATTACCTTGGCTGTTTCTCCTCACCCTCCTGGCACACACATTGTCTGCCCAGTTAACACTGCAGTGCTCTGGGTGACACTGCAACTCTCCCCAACTCAAGGGACTCAGGTCTACACAGGAAGAACTTTGCAAGGAGTCAGTCAATGCCTTTGTTTCCACACTTCTCTGGTCCAGTCCCTCCTGCTCTTTGTGTAGGAGGGGTCTAGAAGGTCTCCTGGCATCATGATTTGAGAGCAGGATTCAGATTCCCAGCACAAGGGCATCATTCATCTCTCTAACCAGTCAAGCCCAAGTGGGCTCCATCAAGATCATTAGATGTTTTGTCCTGCTAATGTCAGAGGCACAATGTCCTCCTGACAAAAGCTGGGCTTTTTTTTTCTTTTTTTTTTTTTAGCCCTGGAATTTATGAATTTCAAAAGAGAAAATTAACTCCAGACTGGGGCTATTTTAGCACTAATGCATGGGCTGAGGACAAACTCTGTTTCCTTCCCTTCTCCTATCACAAAAGACTGGGCAGGGACAACAGAGAACAAAACTGGGCAGCACTCTCAGCTGAACTGCCAGCTCAAAACCACTCCAAATGTGAGCTGTTTTTTCTACATTTATAATCTCGGCCTCACAAAGAGAAAAATAAATTCTTGGACAAAGTCTGTAGTCTGTATGTAAGAAAGAGACACCATAACTCCACCATCTGATTGTCTCTCCTAACAGCCTGGAAAATGCCTGATGAAGATATAACCTGTCTGTGGAAGTCAGGGCTTAGATTTAGCTTAGAAAAACAAAGGAATGGTACAAAGCTTTTTCCAGCAGCAAATCAGGCAGGAAAAATCAGTCTCAGCTGTGACAGGACAACCAGCATCCACTTCATTAGTGTGACAAGGCAATGCCCACGTCTGGATGGGTGTTGTTTGCCCCAAGGAAACAACGGGGTGTCAGGACACGGAGAGGACTTGTGTGCTCAGGAGGGGTGTCAGAGCTGGGCTGGCAGCACAGCCACTGCTCCCACAGCCCTGCATTAACAGCCAATTGATTTGGTGCTGCAGAAACATCCTGTCCTGGCTCAGCCAGAGGAATGGAAGCATTTACTGCTCCCCTTTCCTCCTGCGAGTTGATGCGAAAAACACTGAGCCCAAATTCCGCGGCGTAAATCCGTGGACTGACAAAAGCATCCACCTCAGCTGCCCAACAGCTCTGCTCAGCAGCCTCTCACGGCCCTGAGCTCACACCAGCACCAGCCCCTGGTTCTGTACCTCCTAGCTGGCCCTGCTGCCAAGGGAAGGACCATCCAGGCCCTCGCCCTCCATCCCACCCACCCGGGCTGCTGGAGCCTGGTCAGCCACTTCTCCAGCACTCCCAAACACAGCTCCCTGTAAAACAAGGGGCTGTGAGTTTGCCTGCAATGTGACAGTGCTTAGATAAGAAAAGCTTGTGTCTTGTGGGTTTGGACAGCTTCTTTTTCCCTCCACTCCAAGCCTCAGCCAGCAGCTCCCCAAGGAGCAGGGCGGGAACGTGCTCGCCTACTTGACAAGCCTTTCTGAGGTCTTTCTAGGTCTGCCCCTCAGTGACCAGGAGATGCTGCTTCCTGTTGGGAAAAGGGAAGAGCCTGTGGATGCCCTGCTTGCATTTTCCCTTGCTGAGTGTTGCCACACAAAGCTGGACAGCCCCGGGTTGCACCACAACGAGCCCATCCAAGATAAAGGCACAGTTAAATATGGTGTGGGAGCTCAGCACAGAGAAAAAGGGTTTCTCACTGCATGTCTGTGCACACAGAGCCTGGAGAGAAGCTTTGGGTTTGAAGCCTGCCCTAGGTTATAACCCATACACTCAGACAACGTGGCAGGTGCAAATACCAAAAAAAACCAGTGGCATTGCAGCCAAGAAGCAAAATTCTAGAAGGGAAAGAAAGGGCGAGAGGCACCAGACAAAGGAGGAAGAACTGATTGTTCTGATCCCCCAGAAATGCTGGAAATATGCACCCATACATCAGGTCATGGATAAGACCCAAACTTATTTGACAGAGCTGTAAATGAGATCACTTAGAAATCTAAGGAATCTGGAATGTCTCCAATCCCCCAGAAAATATGGAATTTAAAACAACTAACCTTCAATAACCCAAACACGGAGCAGCAGTGAAAGAAGGGATAAGCTTTTTTCTCTTTTCAGTCTCCTCCCTCTGCTCTGCTGTGGGACCCTGCTCTGCCATGTGAGACAAGCCAAGTCCTCCAGCCCTGCTTTTTAAAGTGATTTTTTGTGTAACACAGGAGCTGCTGAACAGGGACAGACCCACAGCCCAGCAAAGGTGACAGCTCATGAACTACAGGACTGGGGTCAGCTGGAAGCAGTTGTTTTGGTGAGTCACACTTCCCAACCTGCAGCTGTAAAACCAAAGAGTATTTGTGCACTCAGTGAAAGTTCTGACTTTTTTAATCCCAGGACCACAGGACCTGGAGCTTCAAAACCTCCAAACACCTTCAGAGTTGTCAACACAGAACTCACTGTAGCTTTCATTTTAAAATTCCGGGTTCCATGTGATGGGTAATCACTTTGTCTTCTCTGTGAGATGTAACCACAGGGAGGAAAAAAAAAAGAAAGAAAGAAAAAAAAAACCAAGATGTGCTGCCCCTTGACACATTCTGTGCTGACTCAGCAGGATTCCAGAGGTACTCTGTGGTCCCACAATATAGGAAGAGGAAAGCAGCCTGCAAAAGTATTTCTTAATCCCTTGTAAAAAGCAGAGCCAGCTCTTACTTCTTGAATCCCATCCATTTTTCAAGCAAAGAATTAAGCCACAGAAACTGTGGGCAAACCAGAAGCCCTCAGGCTGTGAAAGAAGAGTTACAAGCTCAGAGCTCTCTGGGCAGTGTCCTTGGAGCAGGTCAAGCAGAAAACTGTCCCTTGAGTCCTGCCTGAACCATCCCACCACTTCTTTCCTCCTGGAGCAGCTACTGCTGAAACCACCGAGATCCTGCCTCGTGCTGGAAGAAGAAAAACTACCAGAGCAGAAAAGGGAACTGCAAACACCACGAGTGCCAGGTGGCTCAGACACTCCACGGGACGTGACAGCAGCAGCTCTACCTGCTGGGGCTCTGCTGAGCTCAGGAAGAGCCTGGACACTGATCCAGCAGAGTGAGGATAAACAAAGAGCTCACTGGAGAAATGTGTCAGAACCCACCAGGAGTGTGGGCAAACAACAGCCTGTGAGGTTCACATTCCACTGGCCTCACTAAGCTCAGCTCATTATTCCTTTGCACACCTCCAGCATCTCCTGCTCTGTCTCAGCTTCTTTTTCCCTTTTCAAAAAGGAGGTGACATCTCTCTTTAGGAGATGGTCCAGCCCTACAGAAAGGACTTGTTCTTCACAAAATCTGTATGTGCCAGACTCCTTTCTCCCATAAATCCCATTGTCTATAGAGGGGGTTTAATGGTCTCTGGAGAGCCATTCTACAGTTATTGCAAAAACAGCAGCCTGAGCCACCAAGTTGTTTCCAAACCCTGTGGGGACTGGCAGTGGCTCCATCCTGACTCCCTGTGGGGCTGACCTGGTGTCTCAGAGGCCATCATGGCTTATGATGCAGCAGCACCAAGGTGGCAGCCAAACAAATGAGTTCTGTTCTCTTCTGGGAGCCAGTTTTTTTAAAACCCACTGGCCACCAACAGGGAAAAACATCTTAAAGAGGCAAAGGAGGGAGATGGTGAGTAGTTCAGTCTCACCAAGGCTCCTATTTACCACCTGCCCCCAAACTGGCCTGGGACTGCAAGGCTAAGCTTTCCAGTAAAACAAGATTTCCCTTTCAAAGCCCACAGATGGCCAAGCCAGGCTTTGAACTGAGCTTTTATCAAAGTCTCTGTGTCTGTTTATTTTTGAAGGCTTCCTGGGACAACTTTCCCAAGAGCAGAGTCTTCTGCTTTCAAAGAGGATGTCAGGGCTGCAGAGCCCTCAACCACCCAGCCAGCCCCAACAATTCCAACACCTCCCTGCAGGTAGGAACATGCTCCTGCACAGAGCAGGAATGTGCTGCCTCTGCAGAAAGGGAAAAGCCTTGTGTCTGGACAAGAAGCCAATCCCCCTCTAGGCCCACGGACAGGATCCCTCAGAGGTCTGCCCAAACGTTCTGACAGGCAGCTCAGATGTGAGCTCAGCTTCAGAAACCCTTCCCTGCTCTGTGTGCTCCACCTTGGCTCCAGGCCCACGGAAGGGCTGGTGGAGCCATTCCAAACACGGAGCTGTTCCTCCCTGCCAGACATTAACACTTGAGGGTGTGGTGCCTCTCCAGGAGGGACCACCTCACATCTCCTCCCTGCCCATCTTCACTCCTTGTGTCACAGCCTGGTTGGTGTGGGGACAGCAGGACTCAAACGTCAGGGCAGCCTGGCACGGGGACAGCTCATCTCCAAAACACACCCGAGGAGTCTGTCAGGGATCATCCCTCCTCAGGTGGGACACCTTTGCCTCCCCACAGCTTTGCAGCAGCCCAACCTGCTATTCCTGCCCTGGGTGCTCCCTGAGCTCTGCCAACATGCTGAACCTTGCTGGGGAGTCCCTGGACTGGCTGGTGCTTCTGGAACACAAGATGTGGCCTCTCCTCCTTCCCCTTAACCCACCCCACACACTCCTTTGCTGAGCCACTTTACCCTTTCTGTCCCTACGACTGAGCCCATAAAGTGCCAATTTATTGCCCTGAGGCATTGCAGGCACGGGGATGACATGGAAACTGGATTAATCAGAGACCAAACTGAGCACTCCTCACCTTCCCCCCACTCAGAGCTGAGGAGTTTGGAGGGGCTCAGGTGTTCAGCCACTGCCTTTCACCAACAGGGCTGGGAGGAGCAGGGGGTCAGCAGTCCCCACAAAGCTTGTGCTCCTCACTTCCTACTCCCAGCACCCTGAAAGAACTCTCTCCACACTGTTCTTGGAGCTGTGTTTGGTCCTTTGCTCACAGGTACCTTCCTCAGAGCCCAAAGTGTTGCAGGTGTGGATGTGCTGGGGCTTTGCAATTAACCCTCAAATCCCCTCCTGCCACCCAAGCCTTATTGGGGTGTCTCTGTTGTCTTGGGGACAATGAATCTGCTTTCAGCTCTTACAGAAAACTGTGATTAAGGGAAAGGTACGAGCCATTCTGTTATTTTAAGCTCATCAGATTTGTCCTCATCCCTTTCTTGCACCTTACACAAAAGTGAATTCCTGTGTCTGTCTTTTTGCTGACAGGAGAAAAACAACACCTCCCCCCCAAAAAAAACCCAAACCCACACATCATTTTTTAGCTCCATCTGAACACTCAAACACACACACACACCAGCTGTTTTTGCTTCTTCAAAAGTACAAAATAACTTTGCATCCTGTAAGTCTTGCTGTGTGAGATTTACTGTACTCACACACTGAAGCTTATTGTTTTTGAATTTGCTGATCAGGGTAACTGATAGGAAAAAGCAGATTGCACAAACATGCTGAACAGAGCACTGCTTCAACAGCCTCAAACATTTCTCCACTCTCTCCCCAAAAAAGCAGGAGAAATCCATGATTCCCTCCCCTCCACGGACGAAAACACAGCTAACTCAGCAATCTGAACACAATCTTACAAAGATAACAGTTCCAAACCTCCCAGCAAACCTCCAGCCCCGTCCTCTGCAGCTGAAACACGACCAAGCAACAGCTCAGAACTCACTTTGCTGAAGCAAAATGTGCCACAGGAGGAGTTTCACAAGTTGCTCCATTTCTTCGGCTCCTCCGTGTTTTCGTCTCTCTCGAAAAACAAGTTGAAGACTTTCTTTTTTTCCTTAACTTTTTTTTTTTTTTTCTGCAACTGGAAAACACTATGACCTCATCAATTTACATCCAGAAAGCTGTGGACAGCAGCTCATATTCTGCAGAATTACTCCACCTCCCAACTTCCAACTCCCCACCTCCCCTCTCACTCCACCTCCTTCCCTTCCCTCGGCTTTCTGCAGATCCCTCTGAACTCCCTCTCTTCCCTTTCCCCTCCCTCTGGGTCTTTCTGATCTGCCCCTGACTTTGATGTGAAAGTTTTATCGGGTGAAGTTGGTCCCACACAGCTCTGGGCTCACAGAACAATCTTCTTCCCTCCCCCTTGGGATGGAACTAATTTTCCTCAGGCTTTACTTGATCCAGCTGTTCCTGCCTTTGTTTGACACTCATCCAGCTGTCTGCTCGAGACTGGATTTATTCTGCTGCCTTCCATGGTTTTTTGATCTTTGTCTCCTCATATGGTTTTACTTCAAGCTCAAGTCTCCAAAGACAACCTAGAAAACAACATTTACTCTGTCCTGTAATTTGTAAGCGAGGGCTGGAGAGCAGCAAAAGGATAATAAGGCCTAACAACCTAATCCATGCAGGTGACTGAATTAGCCAGGAGTCTTTTAATGCAAGGCTTGTAAGAAAATTACAATGAGTATTAAGTCAGGAAATAGTGTAGCTGCTGTCAGTATATGTTAAAAAAGCAAAATATGGTAAATTTTTCTGTTTTCCTGCATTCTGTTGTTAGATTGGTGTTGTTTGTTGTGAACACCATTTAGTGAATTTAACAACAAAATCAAATTAGTCATCAAGTGGAAAACGTTGGGGAAAGGGAATTAAAACTTATTGTTTTTAAATGCCTGTCTGTAGATCAAAGCTAAATATATGTGGGACTCTATAGCAAAGGTTAAAAACAAGCCTTCCCATTGCATCCATGGGGATAAACTTAATTGCCCCACTTGAATTTTTCCTCCTGACATTTTTCTGTCTCTCTACTACACCAGAAAATAGATTTCCTCTCTCCCAAGGGGAAAGTGTTTCAGGAAAGTGGAGGGCATTATAATTACAGCAAAACCCTAAATAAACATCTAAATAAATTATATACTGCAACCATGGAACTCGGGAAGCATCCAGTCTAGATCAGAACTTCACCTAGTCCAGGATTCTGTCTGCAGCAGCAGACAGAACCAGATACTTCCAAAGAAATTCCAAGAAACTGGAGCTATTAATATTATTATTATTATTATATAATGTGACCATGAAAAGAGCCTGCTGTTAACTCCAGCAAGTTCTCCCCACTATCCAAAACAGATCCAGAAAACTGCTGGTTTGGTTCTAGGGAAAAATTCTAAAATAACCTTCAGCTAAAAACCCCACAAAATTTCCCTGCAAACTCCAACTCTGGCACTTCTGGGAAGTGGGGAGGTTTGGGGGGAACGAGGCAGAAACAGTCCCTCACTCCACATTCCCACACTCACTCATCACCTGAGCTGTGTCACCACCTCTGTGCCCACAGGTCCAGCCTAATTATGACCCTTTCCAAACCCATCAGCTCGTCTTTGCAAGCCTCAGGAATTCCCACGAGTCCAATTCCATAACCACCCACGTGCAGCAAAGGCTCCTGATCCCCCGTGTCCCCGAGGGGCAAACCTGCTGCCAGGTTCTCAGGTGTCACAGCAGAGCCTGGCCCAGAGCAGCTGAGGTGCTGGGCTGCTGCTGAGCCAGGAATCTCATGGAATAAGGAGCCTTTCCTGCTGTCTCTGTGAGCCCAGGGAGCCAGACCAGGCTCAAATGTGACAGCCCTTCGTCGAGCTGCGTCAGAGCAGAGGCTGGAAATGTTTGGCTGGGAGGCAAAGAGCTGTTCCCAGGGCACAGACAGCAAACCCAGCAAGCCCTCTCCTCCCTCGGTTTCTCTCAGCCTCAGTCAGAACCTTCCAGGCTGCAGTTCCACGTTGCTTCTCCACCTTTCCCTCTCCTGGCTTTGGCACTGCAGAGGTTACTGCCTGGTCCTTGCAGGGCTGCTGGGAGGGATGCAGATTGCTGTGGTTGCTGCTGTCATGAACTGGATATTTCCTGACTGAGAGGAGCCAAGTCCAGGCTGAACCCGCTGAAGTCTCCTAAAGAAAATCGCCCGCTGGAAGGGAAGAGCAACAGCTTCTCTGGGGTCCACAAAGAGAGGAGCAAGGGGACACAGGAGCCTGTTTTGCTGATCTCTCCCTTTTCCTCGCTCTAATTCTGCACAGTTCCTGCTTCCTAGAGCTTTGCTGCTCCAAAGAAGTCCTGGAAGAGCAGCTGTGTCAACATTTTGCCTGGTCAGGAGCTGAATTTTTAAGCAGATTCTCCACAGAGGCTGAGCAGTGCTCCCCAACCCTCCTCCTCCCTCACTCCCAGAGGAGTTTGGGTATCGATTCTCACAACAAGCACCATCCCTTGGCCGCCCACTGCCTCCCAGACAGCTGCCTGCCCTCACCACAAAGCCTGACCAAAGCAAACAACCTCATCCAGGCGAGGGAAAGGCACCTCCCAGCAGCTCTGCTGTGGTTTTGCAGGCTCTGCACCTGCCACCCTCACCCACAGACCAGCCCAGCAGGAGCAGAAAGGCTCCCAGAGTCGCCCTGATTTCAGAGATGAAATATTAGGGCACGAGAAAATAGGTATTTCCCATCTATTTCACATATGAAACGGGGGGTCTCGGGTGGACAAGCCAAAAGGCAGCACAGGGCTCACAAGATTCAGGTCTGCCAGGAAGTTTCCTCCTCCCCACCTCTTCCATTTTTAACATTTTGGGTTTCAGGCTGCCCTGAAAGATCTCCCAATAAATCTGAGCTGAAGAGCACCAGTCAGAAAAACCGAGCAAGTGTCAGATCAGGAAGAAGGTGTGGTGCCAAGAGGGACCCTCCAGCCTTTATTGCAATTTTGAGGGCCACTAACCCCGGGAAAGCAGGAGTGGAAGTAGTCACTTCCCCCCCACCTTCACAGCTACAAATACATGTATTAAAAAGGAATGCCAGGATTAATGATCTGTTGACACAAATCACAGTACAAGGCCTTATGGACAGGATTTGTCACCACTCCAGGCTTATTATCAACAACTTCTTCAGATCTTCTGTAAATACAGGACCCACAGTGCTCTGCCATGATGAAAGGAAAGGAGAAAATACCTACCCATGGGAAGAGCAAGGATAATTCCTAGAACTGTGAAGTAGCTTGGGAATAAAGAGTACAAGAGTACAGCTGATTGACAGGTACAGTGGCAAAGGCATCAAGGATCCCTCAACCCCAAAACCAGGCAGAAATAGAGCTTTCCATGGGAACAGCAAAAGGGAGAAAGGCAGGGGCTCTGCAGGTCAGGGTCAATGTTCACTGACACCATTTATCTTCTAGTTATCTTCATTTATCTTCACTGTGATCAACCAGTAACACCTAGAGGGATAAATACCCACCCACATTCACTCCCCCATCCTAAGAAAGGTCTGGAGTGGGTAGGGGGGCCCTCAGAGCTGCCTGCTGATGGAGGAGAGAGCTGTAACCCAGGACCATGGGAATTACCACAGGGAGTTTTCACTCGGTTGCAAAGCTTTTCTCATCAAAATAAATCTTTCAGCTGCAACGAACCCCATGAGCAAGCCCGAAATAATGCAACTTAGGGCAAGAGCTGTGAACCAAAAGGACAAAACTGAAACCCAACCACAATAACAGGGCTGTGGAGCAGAGCCTGTCATTACTGCAGCGATGTAACAAGCCTTGCACCTCTCAGCCCCAGCATTACCACTGCTGTTCCCCAGCCATGAACACCAAAGCCCCTGATTTGCCTTCTCTGAAGAGCAGGTCCAGAATGACAGGTTGAAGGCCTGGCCAGATGTTTTTCTGCTTTGTTTGACATCACTGGAGTCCACTGTAACCACCAGCCTGAGGTGCAGCTGCGGAGGCAAACACAGGTCTGGTGTGTGAGGAGGGCAGGTCTCTGACACCCTTTGTTCTGGGGGTGTATGAAATGATATAGTGGTAATAATTAATAACACCCCCAGCACAACCAGAGGAAGGTGAAGGCCACAAAAGCTCCCCACAGTGGCAGCCACTGCGAGGGGCCGAGCTGTGCTGTGCCCAAGCACTCCTGAATCACACAGTCACGGAATCACTGAGCTTGGAAAACACTTCCAGGATCATGGAATCCAACCTGTGCCCGATATCCCCCATCCCAGAGCACTGAGGGCCACGTCCAGTCCTTCCTTGGACACCTCCAGGGGTGGGGACTCCAAACCTCCCTGGGCAGCCCCTTCCAAGGCCTGACCACCCTTTCCAGGAAGAAATTCCTCCTGCTGTCCAGCCCAAACCTCCCCTGGCTCAGCTCGAGGCTCCATTTTGAAGCAAAATGAAGTTTCCCAGGAACACTCCATGGTTTTGGGGGCTGTCCTTTCCTCAACTTCTTCCTCTCTTGAATCTCCACCTGGAAAGCTCTATTTCCCTACGTGCCCAAGGCATTGGAGCATAAATTAATTAATGGGACTGTCCAGGTATGCAAGGTATGCAGTGAGCTGGAATGCTGAGACGTTTTTGATCTGCTTAACCTGCTGAGCTGTGCAGATTGCCCAGGAGAGACCTGGCCATGCACAAAATGAGGGGTTAAACTGCAGCATCCCAGCTCTGCAAACTGCTCTGGCTGAAGGGATTAACGTGTTTGTGTGTTCTTCCAGCACTGCTGTCCTCACACCAGGTCACAGCCCTGTCTGCACCCTCTGCCATCAGCACCTCCAAAGCTCTGTGGTTCCTGCAGTCCAGCATCCTTGGATGGCACAATATTTAAACACCCCCTTTGGCTGGGAAGAAGCTCAGCTCCAGATTCCTGGGATTCATCTCGAAACCATTAATAGGAACCAGTTACAAAAACAGAGAAATTGCTCAGGAAACCAACACAGATTACTTTTCTTTTCTTTTTTTTTTTTTTCCAGACAGAAGCTACCCAAAAAAAACACTGACCAAGGAGAAATGGGAAAACAACAAGCAGCAAAGCAAATCAGGGGTGGAAACAGAGACACAAAGAAGCACCTCACTGACACCCACAAAGCAGGTGTAAATTATAGT